TTATACATACACAGCTGGGATATAGGCCAGAGATGCGGGGGGTAAGAAGATTCAACAGAGACAGAGTGGGGAGCAAACAGGCAGACTGACTGAAATACACTGCTGAGGAGAGCAGCAGGTGAGACAGGAGAGGCTGCGGATCCCTTCATAGTGCGGTGCTTAACCCCTTGTGCCACCAGGGAGGCCTGACAATTTTTCTTTTTTTACAGCTGTTTTCTATTATGTGGATATATAATTGAATTAGTCTCTTACAGATGAACATGTGGTATTTTTCAGTTAATTGTTATATCATTCAGGGTCCAGGCCTCCCTGGTGGCGCAATGGGTTAAGACGCAGCACTATGAAGCAATCACAGCCACTTCGGCATGAGTTCAATCCCTGACCAGGGAGGTGACCCACATGGCACAGCAGACCTCTCCTGCCACCCACTGTTCCCCTCACCAGTGTATTTCAGTATATCTACCTGTTTTGTTCCCCACTCTGTCTCTGGTGAATCCTTTCACCCCCACACCTCTGGCCTGTACCCCAGCTCTTGTATAAATAAATAAATTTTTTATAAAAAAAAAGATTGAGGGTTCTCAAACCATGTAATTATGTACAAGTATCGTGGGATAAATTCCCAACAGTGAAATTACCATATTAAAGGATAAATTGTATTTATGATTTTGATATTTGCTCCCAAAATTGCCCTTTGTACATGTTCCACTTTTGATGATTGCTATTCTGATCAGTGAAATATTTCAGTCATGTTTGTATTTTCTTCTATTTGAGCAACTTTTTTTCTATCTTAGGGTTGTAGTGATGGTTAAATGAGTTACTGAAAGCAATGAGTGTATGTCCTCAGAATTATAACAATTATAACCAATGTAATTACTATACTTCTCTTAGTGATAGTGTTATGGGGCAGAACTGAGGGGAATGGGGATGATCTGTTCTGTGAGTCCTCATCCACATGCTTAAGAATACAGGATTCAAAAACAGATACATAGAAAGAAACAAAAAGTGTTTATTTACACAGGGAGTGAGGAAAGGGAAGGTTGAAAGAGACCAAAAGGAAAAGAAAATTTTTTTAAAAGTGCAATGACTTTATTTAAAGAGCAATTTGACAAGCTTTAAAACACACAATAATATTATTTATTTATTTTCTTATTATTGTTCATTTTTGTAATTGGTTTTTTCCCACAGGTGTAGTCCCTATTATTCTCCCACAACCACAACACCCATGACCCATCACTATAGGTCCTTGTGCTCTTTCCCTCCCTGTTTTGCCCCCCTCCTCCTACCCCTCCCCTACTGTATGCCTCACTCATAGCTATGGTTAGCTTGCAAGTTTTGTCTTTTTCCTGACCCGTTGTTCAGTTTCTCTATATTCTGCATGTAAGTGAAATCATCCAATATTTATCATTTTCCTTCTAACATACTTCACTTAGCATAATCCCTTCGAGCTCCATCCGTGTTGCTGCAAATGGCATGAGTTTGTCTTTTTTGATCACTGAGTAATATTCCATTGTGTGTATATACCAAAACTTTTTGATCCATTCCTCTGTTTTGAGGCATTTGGGTTGTTTCATTATTTTGGCTATTGTAAACAGTGCTGCAATAAACAGAAGAGTACAGGTTTCCAAAAGGGAAAGAAATTTTATAGGCTCATTTGTGGCCAGATACCTTTGTCCTGCCCCAGACAGCATCTGCTGAGCAGAGCTATGCAGTCACTAGACTGGTACATAGAATAGTGACTGCGCATTATGAATGTATCACTTATTTTATACTTTACTATAAATGCTGTTTTGCATTTTAATTTGATTACATACACTTCTGCTTTCTTATGTTTTTTCTATTTGCATGCTGTAAGTTGTGTATGTTTTTATTTTCTTGTTCTGTAGCAAAGCCAAATAATTTTTGATCCTTTGGAATTTCCACTTATATGAATTTCATATTCCTACCCTTTCTTCAGTATTCTGTTGAGTCACTTTCCTTTTCTTGATTTGTGGGAGCTCTTTCACATTAAAAATAGCAACTCAGGCCTCCCTGGTGGCGCAAGGGGTTAAGACGCAACCTATGAAGCTCTCCACAGCCACTGCAGCACAAGTTCAATCCCTGGCCAGGGAGCTACTCACATGGCACAGCAGACCTCTCCTGACTCGCCTGCTGCTCCCTTCAGCAGTGTATTTCAGTCATTCTGCCTGTTCTGCTTCCCACTCTGTCTCTGGTAAATCCTCTCACCCTCCACACCTCTGGCCTGTATCCCAGTTCTTATATGCATAAATAAATAAATCTTTAAAAAAATAGCAACTCTTTGCATGATTATGAATATTTTCCCAATCGATTTGATTTTCAAATTTACTTAAAATAATATTTCACTAATTTTGACAGTACTATATATCAAGAAATAACTATATTTTGCATTATTATTCTGTACACAAAAATGCAAACAAAAGATTAATATGACAATACTTAGCTTTACTAAATGTAATACATTAGTATTTTTTCTTTACTATTTCATTAGAAAAACCACTTCTCATGAAACATTTCTTTGGTATTGGGACTTGTTGATTGCGGTCACAATTTAAAAGGAATTGTATTATGGGGTCTTTACTGTTTAAATTGTTAATGTTATATGTAGTAAAATAAGTCTGTCTTTTTTTGTGGCTTCTCACATTTTACTGCTAGTTTGAATTGCTTCCCCCATTTTCTAAGTTTTCTTATTCTTACATCTTTTTTATGTTTAAATTAATATATGTGGAATTTTTGTAGGCATTAAATGATAAAGTATCAAACTTCTCTCTTGTGTCATTGTTAAGAAATTGATATTTCTCCACTATGACAGCATTTTAATAATAAATTACTAAATATTCTTGTGTTTAGTCTGTTAATTTGTGTATCTATTATGTCTGTTTAAAATGTTATTAAAAAATCATTTTAGGGCCTCCCTGGTGGCACAGCGGTTGAGCGCTGGGTTGCAAAGCTGCCCGCTGCCTCTGCAGCGCTGATTTGATTCCCTGCTGCTCCCCGGCCACCGGAGGAGGGTCCCACATGACGCGCAGACCTCTCCTGCCGCCCGCTGCTCCCCACAGTAGTGTACTTTGGTCCTTCTGCCTGTTCTGCTCCCTGCTCTGGCTCTGATGAATTCTCTCACCCTCCCACACTTCTGACTGTGCCCAGTGCTTGTATAAATAAATAAATAATCATTTTACACTACTGCTGACTTTTAAAAATATGCCACTTCGTATAACATTTTAAAATGTTATTGAAATGTAATGTACATAAAGTGAACTGTATGTGTGATGATTATGTGTGATTTTGGTGAATTTTGACAGATGAAAACAACCAGTGTACCTTGTACTCTGATCAAGAAATTAGGTATACTTTATTTCTGCTATTTTTTTAAATGTTTATATGATTGGATAATGCCTACATAATGTATTTTGAATGTAACTGTTGCTCTTCACTTTTGAAGTTTACACTCTGTTATGTCACCTTCATTCAACAAGTTTCCTAATTTTTAATGATTATATATTTTTTCTTCTTGAAGCATTGATAAAAACATTCAGTCATGGTAAACATTAGCAATCTAGAAGTTACCTTTCTCTTTGCTCCTGACGTCAGTGGAAATCCTTCTACTGTCTTAATTCTTGTGATATAGTTTCAGATGAGCTGTTTAAAAAAATAAGTATTAGAAAAGGAGTTTTAAAGAGTGATTTGTTCAGTGGGTACAAGGTTTCTCTTAGGGTTTGGAAATATAATGGAATTAGATGGGGTTGACTAATGTGCAACATTGTATATACACAAAAACCTCCGAATTATAATTTTAAATGGTAAAATGAGAAATTTTATGTTAATTTCATTTCAAAAGGAATAGGGGATAAATATATCACTCACTATCCACTCCCCAGAATGGCTAATGTGAACAGACAGAAAATATTGTTAATGAGAATATGGAACAACTGTAACTCAGTCACTGGTGAAAATGTATATTAACTATTTTAGAAACTACTTTGGCTTATCTTCTAAGGGTGAAAATATATACACATATAAACACATTCTATGACCCAGCATTTCTCCTCCAAATGTCTTTGTTAAAGGATAGTAGTATGTTTTAGCAGTATTCTTGTCATAGCCAGAAATTAAAATTAACTCAAATGTCCATCTATTGTGAAATAGGTAAATATATTGTAGTATATATATTTTTTTTTAAGGTTGTTTCAACTTTTATTTTCTATTACTGGTAATATTTTTATAGGCGTATACAGTCCAAACAAAACAGATGTAACTGTATGTGTTAAAGATACAAAGATGGGTCAAATATATTTTTTTTATTTTTTTTAAATAATAAATTTTATTTTTATATTCCCCCATACAACTGCACATTCCCCATTCTGACCCCAATGTAGTATATTTAATAAGTGAATTGCTATACAGCAATCACAATCAGTGATTACAAGTATACTTAATAACATGGATGAATCAAGTATAATTTTAAGTGTAAGGAATCAGTTATATACAGTTTGAAAATGAGCAGAAGATTTTATATGATGATCTATATATGTAGGCAGTGGTTATTTTTTGCAGGTGAGTGACATCTCACAGGATAGTTTCTTGGTTGAGATCTGAGAACATGAGTGTTTGTTTTGTAAAAGTTTAACAAGCTATATGCATAATTTGTACATTTCGCTCTATGTATATTCTACCATAATACAGTTTGCATTTAAATAATAGGTATTGCAAATTAGATGGTACTGATGTAAAATTACTTTAAAAGTTGATTTGGAAAAACAAATTAATGTACCAAATTATTAATAAGATTATTAGAGCATTGTAATAGTTATTCCTCCTCTTTATTTACTTTCTCTTTACACACTCTTAATTGGGAAAGAGTGAAAAAAATTTTAGGGGATTCACATTTAGCTGCTATTAAATTATAAAGCTCATCTGTATGCTCTAGCTCATCTTCAAAATAATTCAAATTATTAATATGTGTAATTCCTATGTTTATTTTATAGGCACATTTTCACAACAAACCAGTAAATGGCCCCAAGTCAGAATCCATGGAATACAGTAGATGTGGTCATGGGGAAGAACAAAGATTGGAATTGAACCCACGCCCCCTTGAAAATGTAGCTAAAAATGAAGACAGTAAGACAGGTAATGAGGTGGAGAAGTGGCCACAAAACAAGAAATCACATTTAACCAATTATGTCAAAGGAGAGTTTAGGACAGCTGTGACAGAAACAGAAAGGTTGAAAAGCTCTGAAGATGAAAGCAAGAAAGTCCTACTCACTGACCTCCTTGAACCTGAGAAGTTATTTGTACAAACTGTAAGAAATGGCATTAAAAATGTACACTCTTTACCAACTGAAACAAATGTGTCAATTAAAAAATGCAATTTTGAAGAATTTGACAAGGCAATTGAAAATAATTCCTGTAAGTTCCTGAAAGACACTGCAAATCATAACAATGCCATGAGCTCCATTGCTACTAGTGCGAGCTGTGATCATCTCAAGGGGAGAAATAATGTTTTGGTCTTCCAGAAGCCTGGCTTTAACTGTAAGTCTTTTCCAGATCCTGCAAACTTTAACATAAATAGTCATACCAGTACCCACAATGAAAATGATCAAACTCCAGAGACTGTCCCAAGTAAAAACCCAAAAGATGGATCTCCAGTTCAACCAAGTCTTCTATCCCTCATGAAAGATAGGAGGTTAACACTGGAGCAAGTGGTGGCCATAGAGGCTCTGACACAGCTTTCAGAAGCTACATCTGAGAATTCCTCACCATCAAAGTCAGAGAAGGATGAAGAAACAGAGCACAGAACAGCTAGTTTGCTTAATAGCTGCAAAGCTATCCTCTATTCTGTAAGAAAAGACCTCCAAGACCCAAATTTACAAGGGAAGCCACAAAGCTTTCATCATTCTCCATCTCTCGCAAAGCAAAGTTCACGAAACATGGTGGTGTTCAATGGCCAAAATACCATATCCAAGTCACACAGTAACTCAGCTACTAACCAAGCCTCCTCAAAGACACAGGAATATTCAAAGGCCACAAATTCTTTTTTAACACCAAATTCATCTAAACTTGACAATAAAAATGTTGTTCAAAGCAGATTTACTCTAGACAGTTCTTCCAAGAATTCGATGCCTTTGCTACCTAGAATTAATAAATTGGAGCATTGCCACCAGTCACTGGACAGCAGTAAAAAATTGGACTCAAAGAATGACCCATCATGCCAAGATACAGCTCATAGTAAAGTAGAGGAAGATGTTGCAACACAGTTAACACAACTTGCATCAACAATTACATTCAACTCCATAAAATTAGAGGACAAAAATGTTGAAAGAACACCAACAAGCCATGTTGCATACACTGTACAGCAAAAATATAGTCAGGAGAAGGGCACAGTACAACTGAAACCACCAAGTATACCGAATAATCATGGCTCATTATTAACAAAGCAAAAGAACACAACTCAGAAAAAGACAAAATCTACCCCATCAAGAGATCGGCGGAAAAAGAAGCCCACAGTCATAAGTTGTCAAGAAAATGACCAGAAAAAGCAGGAACAGTTGTCATATGAGTATAGAATGTTGTATGATATTTGGATGGGATCTAAATTTCAAAAATTTGGTCAATTTGGTCCACATCATTTTCCTATCTTGTTAGGAAAAATATCTCCAGCCAAAGAATGGGAACCAGTGACTCAAATGAGGTCAGCATCAGAACCCAAAAAATTATTTCACCCAGTTGCTCAGATAGAATTCAAGCGAAGTTATCCTGAAGTAGTGGCACAGGAGAAAATGATAAAGGTTGAACCATTGAATATTCTGTCCACATCCCATTTAAAAATAGAATCCAATGGGCAGGAGTTTACAGAAAAAATTTATAATTCTCAGGTACAGCCAATAGTGAATGTCAATCAGAAAATTCATCCTTTACCCCAGCTCTCCTCTCCAACTAACCAGTGTGCTAATGTGATGGCTGGCAATGACCAAACACAGTTCCAGCAGGATGTTAAAGACCAACTCACACATCAGAGAATACCAGCATTACCTGGCATCTCTCACGAGACTCCATTACTGGATCCAGCACAAATACTCAGGAATGTAAATGTAGTGTGTTCAGGTGGAATTACAGTGGTTTCTACCAAAAGTGATGAGGAAGTCTGTTCATCTAGTGTTGGAGTATCAGAATATTCCCTAGTAGACAGTGCACAGAAAAGTTTCAATGATTATGCCATGAACTACTTTACTAAACCTACAAAAAACCTGGTGTCTACAACAAAAGATTCTGAATTACCAACCTGCAACTGTCTTGGTAAGTGCAAGCATTTGTGGACTTGTATATATTGTGTGAGTTTCTTTGTTTTGCTACATAAATTACCTCATTGTGACTGAGTCAAGTTTTGGCTTATCTTTTATGTATGGCATCATGTCCCATTTCTGTTCTAGCTAAAATAAACTAAGTAATTCTATGCCCATTTTTCTGTGGGACCTTTATTGATTCTGCTCATGTGAATGGCAAATTCAACTCAAAATGGGAAAACTTTCAAGTGAAAAAATTTGCTGGTTTTTCTCAGGGCTAAATGTCTACCAAGTTATTTATTGTGTATTCATAAGAATGGATTCCCTTTAATACTTAATTATAATTTGTTCGTATATTCAATGGAAGCCTTTTGCTTAAAAATAGATTTTTATGGTAAGCTATACCATGTATACAGAGAACATAAAACATGTGTACAACAGAATGAATCACCATAAAAAGTAGCTGTGTAAGTGCCACCATAGTCAGGAACTGAAACTGTTTTAATTTTTTGCATTGCTTTTATGCTTTGCAATATACAAAGGATGCTCAATATATAAAAAATTCCATAATCTTGGCCAGTTGAAAAATTTCCACACTTCAGGAGTTTTAAAATATTCAATTGTCTAATACTCATTTCCTATTTAAAAAAAAAAAGATAGGTTTGTGTTGACAGCTGAATCATGGGCCATTTTCTAACTAATGTATTTTTATGTATTTTGTATCTTAAGACTCATTGAAAGAAAGCGTTCAGAAACTAACAGAACTTTTAGCAGTGTGTTAAAAGCCCTGAGAAAATCTTGCTAGAGTAGGATTCTCAGGCAGACTCTGTGAGAAATTCACTCAATATTTGAAACATGGAAGTTTAATTTGAATTCTGTATTGATTTGTCACTGTCTAAGGTCATGTGCTATGTAGGTGCTCAAATATAAAAAGGAATTTGTTTAGTATAATTATTTTAAAAATGGGGAGATTAAATAGATTGCATTATTAAAGTTTGTTATCCTGTTTAAAGCCCCATTATTATTTCAGCTTTTATACAAATTTATGATAGGACAGAATTTGTATAATAACTTGTTTTTATTATAACCTATTCAATTTTATTATAACCTATTTAATAACATGAATAGGTTTATTTATAACAGTCTTATTTGAGATATGGCCCCAAATCACAAAGGCTTCAAGGTTTGCCTTGAACAGAGGCAATTTTTTCTTAGATTAGAAGCAGGTGTTTTATTAGTATATTCCATACTGGGTAGTTCAGGGATTGCTTAGAATATGGTATACTGTGTTTTGTTTTGTTTTGTTTTGTTTTAAACCATAGTAGAGGGCCTCCTTGGTGGCAAAGGGGTTAAAGTCTCAGTGCTATCAAGTCATTACCAGCCACAGCGCCAGCCACTGCAACATGAGTTCGATCCCCCCCGACCCCAATATTGCTAACCCACATGGCACAGCAGACTTCTCCTATCTTGCCCGATGCTCCACTCAGCAGTGCATTTCAGTATATCTGCCTGTTCTGCTCCTCACTCTATGGCGAATCCTCTCACCTCCCACATCTCTGGCCTACACCCCAAGTCTTATATACATAAAAATAAAAATAAATCTTTAAAAAAAAACCATAGTAGAATAGAGTGAGATAAAAAAATGACTCAGTTTTGATTATCCAAACTACATTTGATGTTCTGAAATAAATCCTTCCATTTTCTCACTTATCACATAACACAGTTTTGACAGCCTACCACATGCAGGCACCAAGGATAGGTTCTGCTGAGAAAGATCTCACCATGAAAAGGGTGACAGTGCTGCCTGAGTGGGATTGAATTGGGATAGAAGCGTGTAATAATAATCTGGCTCTTATTCTAAACTTTTTACTACAAGTCTGATACTTGGTCACGCCTTTGACTTACTATATTCATAAAAGCCATACAAAGGGAAGCCTTATTAATTAATTAATTTATTCATTCATTCATTCATTCATTCATTCATTTATTTATTTTTATGGGACCCTCGCCGGTGGCCGGGGATCAAACCGGTGCTGCAGAGGCTGCAGGCAGCCTCGCAACCCAGCGCTCAACCACTGCGCCACCAGGGGAGGCCCAGGGAAGGCTTATTAATCCCGTTTTACAAATGAGAAGACTGAAGCACAGACAAGTTCAGAGCTAGTAAATGACTGAACTGGGATTCAAAGACAGGCCAATTTCAATGCCAGTCTATGTTTGTATCCTCCATCCTGTTGTTTTGAAAATATGAACAAAAAAAGGGATAGCACTTTTCTGATTATCATTACAAATGGGAAAAAGATGTTTAATTTTTAAAATGCCATTAAGATGTATATATGTGAGTTAATCTAGATTTACTATGTACATAGTTTCAATGGGATGATTGTCCAGTTTCAGAATGCCTCTCCTTTTATATATGGAAATTGGGGTCGGAGGGAGCCAGTCATTCCAAGGTTATTGTGTATCTTCAGTAGACCTGTAACTGTGTACACATGTGTCTTCCTATAGTCATTACATGTGGAGTTGTTGTGCTCATTGTGTAGGAATGGGAACTTAAAAGGGAGAAACACAAAAACACACTCATCCAGAATCATTCCCAGAATCATTCCCAACGGGAACAGAATATGTAAGGGTAAAAAATTCCCATGGATATACTATATCCTAGCTAAATAGGAATAATTAACCTTTAGATCTATGTGTCTCAAATTAGCACTATTGACAATTTAGGTGGGATAATTCTTTGTTGTAGTAGGGGGACTGTCTCTGCTTTGTAGGCTGTTAAGTAGCATCTCTGGCCTCTACACACTAGATAACAGTAAAACACACCACACATACATCTGCCCAGGTGTCAAAAGCAAAAATATTGCCAAATGTCTCCCCCAAGGGAAAAAACAGCTGTTGAAGAATAACTGCTCTAGATCAACAATAATAAGTTAAAATCTATTCATTATCTCTAGCTTTAGAAGCCATGGAAATAATCCTATATTGTATTTGATGTACTGTCAAAATGTTTAAATAGTGACCTCTGGTGTAGGTACGCTATGGCCAGAAAGGTATCCTCCAGTGATTTTATATAGACTTGATTCTAAGAATTTAAGTTAAAAATAGTATTTTCTAAAAAATATATAATTCACACTCACAAAAATTGCAGCAGTATAGAAATAGGATGCAAATATCTTACGGTCCCATTCTCTGAAGATAAAACCTCTTAAGTTTTTCTATAAAAATTAACATTATTACTGATTTTGATTTTGTCTCCAATTTTACCAAATTTAGGTCTGCTTTTTAAATACTTAGTAAGTGTGACCCACATCCTATATCTTTTTCCTCCTCTAACTCTCAGAGGAAGAATGAATTAGTTAGGAACAGAATGAAAGGATCAAGTTAAATTCCAGGACCTTTTGTCCTACACTTTACTTATTAAAGCTCACCAAAACCTTGTCAAAATTCATTGTTCTGAACTGTAAAAAAAAAAAAAAAAAAAAAAAGTATAAATAGCTCCTCCTTGCCCCTATGCAATGCTGTGAAGCTTTGGGTCTAATAATCTTATTCCTTCCACAGATCGAGTTATACAAAAAGACAAAGGCCCATATTATACACACCTTGGGGCAGGACCAAGTGTTGCTGCTGTCAGGGAAATCATGGAGAATAGGTGAGGAAATATGCTTCCCTGTTAAAATCATTCATTACTGTGGACCTAACTCAACGCAGAGAAATTATCGGTGGGAACAATTGTGAGGTGAACAGAAAACGTTCAGGAGTATGAGTTGACTGTTTCTTGGGACACAAGGATACTGTCTTGGTGTCTCTGCTGTCATTCATCACATGAGCTTTGAGCACTGAACAAGACTCTCGCAAAGCAAGACTTTCTTCGTTAAATTCAGAAATACCTATTTTTATGTTATTGTGAAATGGTAGAAATAGTTCAAATTACTGCCATCAACACTGCATTCACATTCATGTTGCTTATCTTGGAGCCAGGTGCTTTTTAAAGACTGATCTTTAAGGATAAGTATATAGAGCTGGATAGCATAAAAAAATAGAGGCCACACAAAAGTAAATGTTTAACAAAAGTAACTACAGGAGTGGTTTTTTTTTTTTTTTTTTCATTTCTATGTATGTATGTCTTATGCACATTAAGATATTAAAAGGTGAGCGGTTCAAGTTCATATTGCAGTTATTTTTCCTTCACTGTGTTTTTACTCAGGTATGGTCAAAAAGGAAATGCAATAAGGATAGAAATAGTAGTTTATACTGGAAAAGAAGGGAAAAGCTCTCACGGATGTCCAATAGCTAAATGGGTAAGTATTTAGTATTTTTACATTTTTTAAAATGAATTTATTTTGCAGCATTCATAAAATAAATTGTTTTTCTATGAATTTGTGAGCAATAAAAATACCCCATATCCATTATTCCCAGGGAAATAACAAGGAAGCTGTCTTAACCTGGGCTTTGGATCAGGGTGGTGGGGGTATACCTTTAGAATATTTAAACAAATGTAGTATTTATGTTAAATGGACAAAAGGGCATATTGCTTTTCCCAATTTTTACCTACTAAACTTTTTTTTCTGTTTGTCTCTGTTTTGTGTGACTCTCTCTTATATCAGTTTCTTGTGTACTTTTAGAGATTATTCATTCATTTATTAGATAACATAGCCAAATGGTACCAGACTACACATATGTATCTTTTATTATTACTGTATTTGAAATTCTTTCCAATTCAATTCCACCTTAATAAGGATCATGCAATACTGAAGGCAAAACCAAATTTTTTGTAATATATTCTCAAAATTGTTTCCATGACTACATTTAGTTTTCCAAAAGCACATAGCTGTTAGAATTAAGAACCCCAGTGTCTATTCTTTAGGACATTCTCGACTGAAAAACAGGCTGATAGCAAATGTATTTTTTTCAGTAGTACATTCACATCCATAAGATATTAACCAGTTTATTTGGAATTTTTGACCATACAATCATTTATGTTCCTGTGTAATCATTTGTTAATAATGATGATGATTATTTATATGATTAAAAAATAACTACTACCTTTATCAGACACTTTATTAGGTACTTGACATATATTGCCTTGTCAGTCCTCACAGCAAGACTCTTAGGAATACTTTGTATATTTGTATAGACCCCTTTATTTGTATATCCTTTTCAGGAAATTAAAAACATTAAATACAAAATGGAGATGGGGGCCTTCCCTGGTGGCACGGGTGGTTGAGCACGGCGCTGTGAAGCTGTCCGCAGCCTCTGCAGCGCCAGTTTGATCCCGGCCAGCCTGCGAGGGTCCCACTTGGCGTGGCAGACCTCTCCTGTCTTGCCCGCTGCTCCCCTCAGCAGTGTATTTCATCGGTTTGCCTGTTCTGTTCCCCGCTCTGTCTCTGGTGAATCCTCTCACCCTCCCGCGCATCTGGTCTGTTCTTGTATAAATAAATAAATAAATCTTAAAAAAAAATTTTGAAAAAAAAATTTAGATGGGTATTCTGAAAGCAGGCAATTGCCCACATCCTTACCTACACTATTACAGTGGATGTCTTTGTTACATTTCACCCTGTATGGTGACAGTGGTGATGAGTACAAGAATTAGACACTGAATACTAAATGCTTTAGAATATTTTAACTTTATCCAGTCTATTTGGAGCACATAGTCTTGTCAAAATACAGATAAACTCAAAGATCTGGGATGTTCCTTGCTAACAAGTGATCTTACAGTAAAATGCACAGATCTTCTGTGTATGTGAGTACTTCTTATATATAACACTACTGAAATAATGTTATAGCCCTCCATAGGGCTCCCTGATGTCCCCTCCTAGTCAATATCTCTGCATAAAGATACCGACTATTTTCATCTTTATCACCATAAAGGTCTTTTTGAAGAACTTCGTGTTATTACAATCATATGGTATAGACTCTGAATCTCCTTCACTCAGTTTTTATAGAGCATGGGTTTAATGGCTAGAGCTCAACAACCATTTTGAACTATGGAGTGACTTGATAGTGGAAGACATGTACCAACAGGGTGCGAATAAATATAGGAACCCGAGTCCCTGATGAGATGGATGGAGATGCCATACCAACCCCAAGTCTTCTTAAATCTGGATTTCTTTAGTATGAGAAATACCTTTTTCATGCTTAAACCCTGTTATTTGAGAGGGGATGTTTATTATATGTAGTAGTAGCAAGTGCCAACTAAAGTAACTGCCTTCACTTTGTTAAATGTGAGTGAGTTTTGGAAGGGAAAAAAAAATTTCAAGATTAGAGAGATAGGTGAGTGACCTCTTTGTTACTGAGCACTTCTTACAGTCACACACTGGTCTGGGGACACAAACATGAATTAACATCTACTAGTCATATCATTTTATGGTCCTGAGTCACATCAGTCATCACAAATACATTTTGAGTCTAGGTTTGATAACTAAAGTTCACTTTATCATTTGCTAACACAAACGTTACCTGGGATTACTTGGTCTCTTAAGAACAAAATAAAATTTCCCCAAATTCTCCACTAGAAGTCTAAAACTTTCCCTAAAATTTCTATTTAATGGTTGGAGTAAGGCCGGGGCTGGTGGTTGTGAAGAGTATCAGTTCTTTTTTTTTTTTTTTTTTTTTTTTTTAATAGTGGCATGCTTTTTATTTATTTATTTGTTTGTTTTGTTTTGTTTTATACATGCACTGGGTACAGTCAGAAGCACGGGAGGGTGGGAGAATTCACCAGAGCCAGAGCGGGGAGCAGAGCAGGCAGAAGGACCGAAGTACACTGCTGAGGGGAGCAGCGGGCGGCAGGAGAGGTCTGCGCGCCATGTGGGACCCTCCTCCGGCGGCCGGGGAGCAGCCGGGGATCGAACCAGCGCTGCAGAGGCCGCGGGCAGCTTCGCAACCCAGCGCTCAACCGCTGCGCCACCGGGGAGGCCCCAAGAGTATCAGTTTTTGAATCAACTTCTTGTCCTGGTATGCACTATTCCCACATCTGGTCCACTTAGTTACAGAAATTTAGTAATTTCCAGTAAATACTCACTCATAGAATTTCCGGTAAATAGTAACTCATAGAATTCAGTCTCCATGATTGAGAGTTTTTTGGTTTAGATGTAATTAAACAGTTCCCAGAGAGGTCTTTTTATTTTTCTCTTTTATTCCTCTTTTAAAAAATAATACTGTTGATTCAGAGCATTTTAAATTAGGAAATAATGTATGGACTGCCTATTTTTCTATTGAATTGTTAGTCTATAATTTTATAGGAATTCCTTTATAAAGTTGACCGTTTGTGATAAAATTTGCAACTGTATTTTCTCAGTTTCTCATTGTTTCCACCATTCTGATTTTTAAATGAAATTGAGTTTTTTTATTTTTTTTTAAGATTTATTATTATTTATTTATACAAGCACTGGGTACAGTCAGAAGTGTGGGAGGATGAGAGAAGTCACCAGAGCCAGAGGGGAGAGCAGAGCAGGCAGAATGATGAAGTACACTGCTGAGGGGAGCAGCGGGCGTGGCAGGAGAGGTCTGTTGCGCCATGTGGGACCCTTGCCAGTAGCCGAGGATCGAGCCGGCACTGCAGAGGCTGCGGGCAGCTTCGCAACCCAGTGCTCAACCGCTGAGCCACCGGGTAGGCCCGAAATTGAGTTTTTTAAACAACATAAAAGGTGAAAACTTTTCTTCCTTTCTTTCATAATTTCAGCATGTTATATCTTTTTTTTAAAGATTTATTTATTTATACATGCAAGAACTGGGGTACAAGCCAGAGGTACAGGGTGTGAGAGGATTCACCAGAGACAATGGGGAGCAGAACAGGCAGATCTACTGAAATACACTGCTGAGGGGGAGTAGCTGGTGAGACAGGTGAGGTCTACTGTGCCATGTGGGTTGCTCCCTGGCCGGCGGGAATCCAACTTGTGCTGCAGAGGCTGCAAATAGCTTCACAATGCTGTGCTCAGCCCCTGTGCCACCAGGGAGGACCACATTCTTTAATTTATCTAACAGGAGTTCACTGAAGTTGAGGAGGTAGAGAATGGAATCAAGTAGGCAGGTAGGCAGAAGCCTCACTTTAAATAGTTTTAGAGGCCATAGTGAGGAACTTGGGCTTTTAGTCCATGGGTAACAAGAAGGCTTTGAAATATTTTTAGTATGAATGTGTTATTTGGTTTGTTTTATAAAACCATTCTAAGAAATTAATTGGTAAAAGTCATGTATATTATCTTTAGCTTTTTCGGTCTTAAACAACAGAAATTTGTTTTCTCACAAATTTCTGGTAAAAGTCATGTATATTATCTTTAGCTTTTTCGGTCTTAAACAACAGAAATTTGTTTTCTCACAGTTGTGAAGTTACAAAGTCCAAGATTAAGTGACTGTCAAGTTGGTTTTCTGCGAAGCCTCTCCTTGGCTTGCAGACTTCTGTATCTTCACATGACCTTTGGGCGTACACACGCTGATGTTTACTTGTGTGGATACCAATCATATTGGATTAGGGCTCCACCCTTAGAACATCATTTAAACTTAATTACCTACTTCAAGGTTCTTTTCCAAACATAATCACATTGAAGGTTAGAGTTACAATGTATGAATATGGGGGGGAAGGGGATATAATTCCATCCATAATACACCCCCATGCTGAAAGAAGTAGGAAAGAATGTATGAATCAGTATAGCAGGTGTTTTAAGTCTTCCTGCCTGTCAGATTGACTGAGTTTTGGTTGTGGTCTGGCCCACCCTCCCACTAAATCAGCTCACTTATTTAAGAAATCAGGGTGTCTAGTGTATACCCCAAGCTACGCTAAATAGCAGACACATTTTACATTCCATTTACCCAAAAACTCCTCTTCAGTGCTCCCTGCACTTTCTGTAGAGGCTCTCATGTCCATGATGCCTCTTCCAGGCTATGTCATATTCTATCCTGTGAGTAGTATCCTCACTACTTTAAATTATAGTGATACATTTTTCTCATTCTCTGGTTCCTGCCAGATGATTTGTCTAACTTGAAAAATTATTAATGTAAGATATTTCTACCAAAAATAGATGACTGGATCAAGAAGATGTGGTATATATACACAATGGAATATTATTCAGCAATCAAAAAAGATAAACTCATGCCATTCGCAGCAACATGGATAGAGCTAGAAGGAATTATGCTCAGTAAAATAAGCCAGAAGGAAAAAGAAAAATATTGGATGGTTTCACTTATAACAGGAATATAGGGGAACCAAATAAGACATCTGTTAAAAAAAACAAAAACAGTACAAAACACAACAAAGCAAAAACAGACAATTATAAATCAGCGACATACTGCAGGGGAGAAGAAGGGAGAGGGATCAGAGGGAAGGAGAGAGGAGAACAGGAGACTGTGGTGATGGTGCACGGGTTCCTTGGGGAAGGAAATTCTATGGGGACTCAACCTAAGGAGGTGGTGGGGAAGCAAATATTGTTTAAAAATAAAAAAAAAATTAAAAATAAATTAAAGAAAGATATTTCTAGCTGATTTCTGGAAAAGCTCAGCATTGCATTATATACAATACAAAGGAGTTTTCTAATGCTAGGAGTAGAACGTTGGTTATTGGTTGGAGGTGAAGTTAGAGCCCTGTTCTGTTCATTTAGTCTTCTTTCATTAAACACAAAAATTTTAGAAGCTTTGAATAATCCCTACCTCATACAGCTTTTGTGGGCCAGGAATACGGGCATGGCTTAGCAGGGACTTTTGGCAGATGGACTTATGAAGTTTTCATCATCTGAAAACTCAGAGTGTGGTGAGGGACTGGAGGTTCCTCTTCCCAGGGTCCTGGAAGGAAATTTTTAGTTCCTTCAGGGTTGTTAGCTGAAGGTCTCACTTCTGTATCATAGGATTTTTTAAGTGTGTTCTCATGTCATTCATGGCAGCTTGGTTCCCTCAGAGTCAATCAAAGATAATAAGGGAAAAGCCACCATAGCTTGTTTTCTTTTTGTTGTTTGTTTCTTTATGACATCAGCTTTGAAAGTTGCTCCACAAGTGAGCTCTATTCATTATAGGAGAGGACACATCAGGGTGTGAATACCAGGTGGTGGTGTTCACTGGGACCACATTGAAAATTGGCTATCATAAAATTCAATATCCGTTCTTTTTTTTTTTTTTTTTTTAAGATTTATTTATTTATGCATGCAAGAGCTGGAGTATAGGCCAGAGATGCGGGGGGTGAAAGGATTCACCAGAGACAGAGTGGGAAGCAGAACAGGTAGACTGACCAAAGTACACTGCTGAGGGGAGCAGCGGGAGAGTCAGGAGAGGTCTACCTCACTGTGTGGGTTTCTCCCTGGCCGGCCAGGGATCGAACTCGTGCTGCAGAGGCTGCAGATTGCTTCCAAGTATGTTGCTTAAACCCCTCACACCACCAGGGAGGCCCTCAATATACATTCTTTATTTAAAATTTTGGTAGGGCCTCTCCTGGTGGCGCAACGGTTGAGCGCTGGGCTGCGAAGCTGCCCGCAGCCTCTGCAGTGCCGATTCCATCCCTGGCCGCCGGCAAGGGCCCCACATGGTACACAGACCTCTCCTGCCATGCCCACTGCTCCCCTCAGCGGTGTATTTCGTTGGTCTGCATGTTCTGCTCCCCGCTCTGGCTCTGGTGAATTCCCTCACCCTCCTGTGCTTCTAACTGTACCCAGTGCTTGTATGAATAAATAAATAAATCTTTTAAAATAAATAAATAAATAAATAAATAATAAAATAAAATTTTGGTAAATGAAGGGATACTACATTGGCATAAGTAAAGTACATCTATCTTAGCCCTAAGCAACATGTCCAATATCTAACACATCAAATATATCTACTTTAACTATCTTCACTAAAGAAGAGATCTGTTAATTTGTGGATGTTCACAAAGGTAGTGCATTAATAAATGCATAATAAATAAACATCATTGTTTATTGTGGAATGAATAAACAGAAAGTTTACAAAATAGAAATGTACAATTTACTTATAATTATAAAGTGAACTCTCATGAAACAACTACCCAGGTCAATGATAGAACTTGACTAGATCCTCAAACCCCAATCATAAACCTCAGGTTTTGACTTTCATGGTAATCATTTTCTTTCTAATATGTATTTCTCAACAGTATAGTTTTGTTTTGCTTTGTGCTTTTTTAATCTTGTCCCCACAAAATACCTTGCACTCTGCTGAAATAAATGGCAGGGATTGTTTCTCAATTTCTGGCACTAAGAGTTGACAAAGGTTCGTTAATCTGCATCTATTAATTATTTATGAATCCTTGGTTATTTGTCTTAACAAGTGGCAAAGAGCAAAATAGCACTGGAGTCCCTAGAGTATGTGATCCAAAAGAGATCAAGGTAATTGCATTAACAAATGGCCAACAGGCATATGAAAAAATGTTCAACATCCTTTATAATCAGGGAAATGCAAATCAAAACCACAACGAATTACCACCTTACACCGATAAGAATGGTGCATACCAAAAAAACTAGCAACAACATGATGGGGAGGATGTGGTAAAAAAGGAACTCTCCTACATTGCTGGTGGGAGTGCAAACTGGTCCAACTACTATGGAAAGCTCTCTGGAGGTTCCTCAGTCTACTAAAAATGGAGCTACCATGTGACCCAATAATTTCTTTCCTACGGATCTACCCAAAGCACATAAAAACATTGATTCAAAAGAATACCTGTATCCCTATGTTTATTGCAGCAATATTTAAAAAATTGGGAAGACTTGGAAACAACCCAAATGCCCAAAAATAGATGATTGGATGAAGAAGATGTGGTATATATACACAATGGAATATTATTCAGCAATCAAAAAAGATAAAAGTTTATCTAGCAACATGTATGGAGCTAGAAGGAATTATGCCCAGTGAAATAACTCAGAAGGAAAAAGAAAAATATCAGATGGTTTCACTTACAGCAGGAATATAGGGGAACCAAATAAGACATCAGGGGAAAAAAATAATAACAGTACAAAACAAAACAAAAACAAACAGACAATTATAAACTAGAGACACCCTGCAGGGGAGGAGGAGGGAGAAGAGAGAGATGGAAGGAGGAGCACAGGGGAATGAGGTGATGGTGCACAGGTGCATTGGTGAAGGAATTTCTATGCGAACTGCACCTGAGGGGCATGTGGGAAGCAAACATTGTTTAAAAATGAACAATGGGGCCTCCCCAGTGGCGCAGCGGTTGAATGCTGGGTTGCGAAGCTGCCCGCGGCCTCTGCGGCGCCGGTTTGATCCCCGGCTGCTCCCCTGCCTCTGGAAGAGGGTCCCACATGGCGCGCAGACCTCTCCTGCTGCCCGCTGCTCCCCTCAGCAGTGTACTTCGGTCCTTCTGCCTGCTCTGCTCCTCGCTCTGGCTCTGGTGAATTCTCTCACCCTCCCACGCTTCTGACTGTACCCAGTGCATGTATAAACAAAACAAACAAACAAACGAATAAATAAATAAATAAATAACATGCCTCTGTTAAAAAAAAAAAATGAATGAATGAATAAATAAATAAATAAATAAAAATGAACAATGATGTAAAATATATATAAATTTAAAGAAAGGTAACTGCAATAAATGATAGGATTTTGGGCCTCCCTGATGGCACAAGGGGTTAAGACACAACCTATGATGCTATCCACAGCCACTGCAGCATGAGTTAGATGCCTGCTCAGGGAGCTACCCACATGGCACAGCAGACCTCTCCTGTCTGGCCCGCTGCTCCCCTCAGCAGTGTACTTTGGTCAATCTGCCTGTTCTGTTCCCCACTCTATCTCTGGTGAATCCTCTCACCACCCAAACCTCTGGCTTGTACCCCAGTTATTGTATGCATAAATAAATAAATCTTAAAAAAAATAAAATAGGATTTTGAGTGACCTTACTAGCAAAATAAAGTCTTATTTATGGATGCTGTTTGCAGGAATGAAGTAAAGGGGAGCAAGGAAATAAAGAAAAATGATTTTAAATGAAAGAAACTAAATGGACATTCACCTAGTGAATTGCATTGTCCTAAATTAATTTTCATGTCGCATAGTATGTTTGAGGTTAAACTTGAACCTAGTGTTCACTTGGTAGCACTTATAATAAAATTGAAAATACACAGAAAAGGTTCACATGGCCCCCGCAAGGAATGGTATGAAAATTTGTAAAGCATTTTGTAGTTTTTTCTTTAACTTTGCCATGTAAGGAGAAAAATGAATAGGAAAGAAAATAAAACAATCATCAGCTATTTATTGAGTTTCCTATAGTCACAGAATCATTAAATTCATAGCACCCTAAAATACGTTGTTTATTTTACAAAAAGGAAAATTGAAATTCTGACAGGAAAGTTCTCCTAAATCACATACTTAGTGACAGACTTAGGCTAACATCTACCTCACAACTCCCACCCAATGCTCCTGTCACAATACTGCACTGATTAACACCAAAGAATTATTGTGGGAAGGGGGAGACCCCCAAAAGGGTATAAGCTATAATCCTCACTCTTAAGGAGCTTATAACTTAGTAGGATCAGGAGAGGCAAGATGTGTGTTGTTTATTCAGAAGACAGATATATCTGGCAGGCTTAATAAGTCTGGGAGAGCCTTTTAAGGTTGGTAGAAAATATTAAGTTATAGTTATTATACAGTCACTGTTTTTTGAATTTTGAAATAAATCATTTCCCAAAATGTTTTTTAAAATATTAAGTCAAAAATCTAATTAAGTGGTATTATGTACATTTGTTCATATCTGTGTGTTTGCTTATTAATAGTGATTGGTAATAGTGATTGGTTTTTATCCTACATTTGTTGCTATGCACTTGCCTCATTTTTCTGAATGTGAGACTTATTGCTTTTCTTTTTTTATGGTCACATAAAAAAACCTCACATCAGGTATAACTGGGCAGCACAACTTTCTGAGCCATTCTCACATTGTTTTGCCTTTGGTCTTAGCACTGTTTTATTCTTTTCTCAAAATATTTCTTTGCCAAGTGGTCATTAACACTCCCCCATGATAATGAACTCTTGGCAGGCATTTCTGACTTTGTTCTGCAGTCACATGTCAGGAACTAGTTTTCTTATGATGTGCTAGGTTTTGTGTACAGGGTGATTTAGTTTCTGGAATGCACTAGATAGTATTAACTCCCTGTTCTACTACCCCTTCCATCTCCTACAATTGAGTCTTTGAGGTGATGGCAGCAAAGGGGAGAATTCAAACAGCAGCAGGTGTGGACAGCTCCAATGTCTGAGTAATTTGCACTAGGTCCAGTTGGTGTGTTCCCTTTCATAGGATTGTTAGTACTATCGGTGAGGCAGTGAGTAGGTGGAAGCAAATGCTTATGTTCTACTTTGATCTGCTTCACCACAGTCTAAGGTTGAGGTGTAAACCAAGCTGAAGTATCCAGATGTTTTCAAGCCATGTTGCCTGGATTTACGCATTTATATTATATACATCATTTTCTGAGACTTTACTGGTTTTGTTCCATTGTTTCAAGTGTCTGCTCGATATTTCCCTTGGTGTCTTTAGGCTGTACTCTGGTGCTGCTTCTCTCTGTGCCCAAATCAGGTACCCCTTTTCTTTATTACCATAAAAGCATATTAAAGGGAGTAGTTGGTGTCCTGGGTTACATGTTTGGCACCTTGCTAATGTGAGAAAACCATTATGTGATTCAGTGACAAAAATAAGATAAAGACCAAAAAGTTCATGCTCTCAGTTGCTGTTAAATGACTTCTATTTTTTCACTGACTTTGCCTTTTTTGTAATATGTGTATGTCTTTCTTTGCTTAAGCCTATTGTCTACTAACATCATTATGCCTACTTTTATGTTAGACTACTCACAGAATTCATGTTTGTTTGTTTTTTCAATATTTAAAGAGCAGGTTTAGGGCCTCCCTGGTGAAGCAAGGGGTTAAGCACCGCACTATGAAGCTGTCTGCAGCCACTGCAGTACTAGTTCAATCCCCGGCCAGCCAGGGAGCAGCCCACATGGCGCAGCAGACCTCTCCTGTCCCATCCGCTGCTCCCCTCAGCAGTGTATTTCAGTCAATCCGCCTGTTCTGTTCCCCACTCTGTCTCTGGTGAATCCTCTCACCCCTTGCACCTCTGGCCTGCACCCTAGCTCTTGTGTGCATAAATAAGTCTTTAAAAAAAAGTCACTTATTTAGGGCCTCCCCTGGTGGCGCAGCAGTCGAGCGCTGGGTTGCGAGGCTGCCCGCAGCCTCTGCAGTGCCAGTTCGATCCCTGGCCACCAGCGAGGGTACCACAAAAAAAAATAAAATAAATATATTTTTTATTATTTTATTTTTTTTAAGTATTTTTTTTTAAGATTTATTTATTTATTTATACAAGCATTGGGTACAGTCAGAAGCGTGGGAGGGTGAGAGGATTCACCAGAGCCAGAGCGGGGAACAGAACAGCCAGACTGATGAAGTACACTGCTGCGGGGAGCAGTGGGCGGCAGGAGAGGTCTGCGCGCCATGTGGGACCCTCGCCGGCAGCCGGGGATCGAACCAGCGCTGCAGAGGCTGCGAGCAGCTTCGCAGCCCAGCGCTCAACCACTGCGCCACCAGGGGAGGCCCTTTTTTAAGTATTTTTAAAAAAATAAAAAGCAAGTTTATTAAGGAGAGGGATGAGATTAAAACACACTTTTAATGAGGTGCACCATCACCTCATTCCCCTGTGCATAGACACCAGCAGGTAGGAAGAGCTGCCCAAAAAGGGACAGGTTTGCTGAGCGAGACCTCCATGGTTGCAGGTGGGCAGCCTGGAGGAGAGCTGCCTCTACTGAGGGAGGTCAGTGAGGAGAAGTCCTGGCATGGCACAGGTCATAGGCAGGCAGGAAGCTACGGCCCTGTGGAGGGAGAGAGAGAGTTGGTGAAAAGAAGCACCTGCATAGGCTCAGGTGGGCAGAAGGACTGCTGCCAGAATTCATTTTTTTAGGAAATTTTTTATTCAACTATAATATACATAAAGTATACAAGTCATAAGTGCACAGTGCAATAAATTTTCACAAAATCCTCACTGAATGTGCCCAGTCATAAACTACAACCCAGAGAATGAAATTCATTTTATTATACATAGGTAACTTTAAAAAATCTTAGCCAATGGGTGGATGTTTTTGGAAGGGGCTATTATAGGTTGAAATGTAATTGAACTTTGTTTCTCACATGATTATTGATAAATTCAAAAATGATGTCTCTGCAGTATACCACACATTTATTGTAGATTGCTCCTAGCTGTGATGCTAACCTTGTCCTTCTGTGGGGCCATGGCCCAAAACTACCATGGAGCTGATGGTAGTACTACAACTAAGATTGCACCATGAGGGCTATTTGGTTTGCTTTTGGTATTTTTTTTTTAAAAAAGTAATACAGTTCTACAGTATTTGTAAAATTTACTAAATTTTAAAAATTTAATTTAACTAAAAATCAAAATTAAATCAAGCTGGCCTATCCTAAGAATTAAGTTCTTAATTTAATTAAAATTAATTTTTAGAAATCTATATCAAATCTAAAAATCCATCTTTATTTTACCCTTTGAAGTAACAATATTTAACAATTTAGGGTACACTCAAGCTAAGCGTTTGGATATTAGAATTTCAACTAAGAAATAATAGAGAACTATTTCAGCATGTTAAACATGAGTGACAAGGTTAGTGTTACTTGTAAAAGCTGATTATTTTATGGCTTCTTAAATTTTAAGAAAGCTTAATTAAATAAGCATGGAATTGTTTTGGAGCAGAATTTGCTCAAGACCCTTTTGCTCTTCCTTGCATACGGAAATGAATACATAACTTCATTATTTATGGGTGGGTTGGATCCAGTACTAGGAATTGTAAGTAAGGCGTCCAAAAATTTGATTAATATAACAAAAACTAAATGAAGACAGATTTTTACAAATTCCTCATTTGTAATACTTGGAATAACAATAAATCTTTCATTTTTCATTTTTTATTTTTTTTAAAGCTTTATTTATTTATGCAAGAGCTGGGGTACAAGCCAGAGGCGCGTGGGAGGGTGAGAAAATTCACTAGAGAGAGTGGGGAGCAGAACTGGCAGACGGAACGAAGACACTGCTGAGGGGAGCAGCGGGAGAGGAAGGAGAGGTCTTCCACGCCATGTGGGTTTCTCCCCGGCCAGGAATCAAATCTGCGCTGCAGAGGCTACAGACAGCTTCACAGAGCAGCGCTCAACCCGCTGTGCCACTGGGGAGGTCCCCATTTTTAATTTTTTTCAAAAAGTATATTAAACTGGGCCTCCCCGGTGGTGCACCGGTTGAGCGCTGGGTTGCGAGGTTGCCCACAGCCTCTGTAGCACCGGTTCCATCCCCGGCCACCGGGTGAGGGTCCCAAGTGAGGCGTAGACCTCTCCTGCCACCCGCTGCTCCCCTCAGCAGTGTATTTCATCAGTCTGTCTGTTCTGTTCCCCACTCTGGCTCTGGTGAATTCTCTCACTCTCCCGCTCTTCTGACTGCACCCAGTACTTGTATAAATAATAAATAAAAAAATAAAATAGTATATTAGTATATATTTTATTATCAATAAAATAGTATATTAAACTAATGGTGACATTTATTTTATCATTATAGCTCTAGTAGCAAAAATCAGTGTCTTACTGAATTTGTATTTGAAATATTGATAGTAGCATTGGATTTCTATATCTTTAATCATCATTATATTTCATTCATGAATTTATCCTTCATAGCTACTTTTTGGTCAGATTATCCTTTTTTTAAAAAAAGATTTATTTACTTATGCTCACAAGAGCTGGGTGCAGGCCAGAGGTGCGTGGGGTGAGAGGATTCACCAGAGACAGAGTGGGGAGCAGAACAGGCAGATCTCCTGAAATACACTGCTGAGGAAGCAGTGGGTCAGTCAGGAAATGTCTCTGCCATGTGGGTCACCTCCCTGGCCTGGAATCAAACTCTATGCTGCAGTGGCTGCAGATAGCTTCATAGTGCTGTGTCTTAACCCCTTGTTCCATCAGGGAGACCCCTCATTCCTTTTTTATTATTTTTAAATCATGTTGTCTGTTGGATCTAGATTCTCACTTTTAGCAATTAGTGTTCAGTGCAATAGTTTTATTATCTTTCAAAGATGTATTATTATCCAGCAAACAAAATAATTTGTTTTAAAAATTACAAAGTCTATACACCAAGTAAAGAAAATCAATTATTATTCTGTAAAA